AGAGAGAGAGAGAGAGAGTGAGCACAAGCAGGGGGAGTGGCAGGCAGAGGCAGAGGGAGAAGCAGGCTCCCCACAGAGAAGGGGGAGCCCGACGTGGCACTCGATCCCAGGACTCCAGGATCGTGACCTGAGCCGAAGGCAGTCGCTTAACCAACTGAGCCACTCAGGCGCCCCTTTACTCATTTATTTTAATTGTTTTTTTAAGTAGGCTCCACGCCCGGTGTGGGGCTTGAACTCATGACCCTGAGATCAAGAGTCAAATGCTCTACTGACTAAGCCAGCCAGGCGCCCCCAGAGTGCCTCATTTAATAAAGCAGGCCAAAAATTCTAGAAAATGCAGCTGGGCTTCTGGTAACATCTCCGTCTAGTTGCTGAATTTTTTTTTTAAATTTTTAAAATTTTTTTAAAGATTTTGTTTATTCACTTGAGACACAGAGATACAGAGAGAGAGAGAGAGAGAGAAAGCATGAGCAGGAAGAGAGGCAGAGGGAGAGGGAGAAGCAGGCTCCCCACCGAGCCAGGAGCCCGATGTGGGGCTTGATCCCAGGACCCCGGGATCATGACCTGAGCCGAAAGCAGACGCTCAACCATCTGAGCCACCCAGGCACCCCTAGTTGCTGAATTTTTTCACTTAGTTAACTCCTTTCTCCTAGAAACCTCTGTCAGTTGTGAACTGATGGTTGTTTACTTTGGTTTCTTTTTCTTTTTCTTTAACTAATCTCTACACCCAGTGTCGTGCTCAAACTACCAGAGTCTCATGCTCTACCGACTGAGCCAGCCAGGCGCCCCTACTTTGTTTTCTTGATATTCATTCTCCAAATATCGAGTAATAGTAGTTAAGTCTATTTTACAAATCATATGTCCCAGTGCAATGGCTGCAGGGCTAGTTACATGTGGAACAGTACTTACAGATACTAAGACTCTTAGCCAGAGCTGCTAATTGAATTCCTAGCTGGAAAATTAGAAATCCCAGATCTTTTCATTCCCCTGGGTTGTATTTTTGGACAAACACTGAAAAATGATTCCTACCTTTTTCTACTGTGTAAAAGCCTTCATTGCCATTTTTACTTGTACTTACAGCTAAATATATTAATGCAGCTTCCTCACATTTATTATTCTTTGAAGTGTCTTGCACATGGGCTCTTGAGAATAAGTACCAAAAAAATCAATTTAATAAAAAAATTTTTTACTTGAAAGATGTACACACAAATCTAGTTCTTTTATATTCCCATATGACATTTGCAAATTGCTTGCTTGTTAGAACAAAAAGCAGTAAAATGGAACATAAATCCCATAACTCACTGGTTTCTCTAAATACCAATACTGTAGGTATTAAATTACTTTTGTAATACCCTAGATTTAGTTAGGTGTTGTTTTGAACAACACTTGAATCAATAGCTAATGCTGGCAAAAGTTGGAGGACTGTGAGGCAAAACAAAACAAGTATTTCTTTCTTTTTTTTTTTTTTTTAAAGATTTTATTTATCTGAGAGAGAGTGGAGAGTGCACCAACAGAGGGGAGGGGCAGAGGGAGAGGGAGAAGCAGACTCTCCACTGAGAAAGGAGCCTGATGCAAGACTCAGTCCTAGGACCCTGAGATCATGACCTGAGCCAAAGGCAGATGCTTAACCGACTGAGCTACCCAAGTGCCCCAAAACAAGTATTTCTTTAAACAACTTTAAATTGCTATTTTTTAAAAGAATAACATATATATCAGTTTTCAGTTAAAAATGAAATATTTATGGGGCATCTGGCTGGCTCAGTCAGAAGAACGTGTGGCTCTTGATCTTGGGATTGTGAGTTTGAGGCCCACATTGAGTATAGAGATTACTTAAATAAAATTTTT